ATAAATTGGATTACTCTTTCAATGTTCTGTCTATGGATTTTTCCAATCGACTGCTTCATAGAAAATACCCAAAACTCCACCGAATTTCAAATTAATTTCTTCGTAGACTGTTTTAAAATTTAGATATTTATCAAACCTTAACCTCCCAAATATGCACGTTAAAGTAACGCGAACTGACAGCGTCTAAGAATTTGAATGAAACCTGTCGTGTAATTCATTGGGGTTATTGTAACGTCTTCCTTAATGTAGTCCTTATCGCTCACCCCTTAACCACCTTTATCTAGAGATGAGACACGTTAGAGTTGAGCAACATCCAGCCGACACACTGGGGTTAAAATAGGAAACTAAAATGATACATAACATATGACACACTCATATCCTCTCTCCCACCTCACTTCCTCACTTCGTTAACTTTGCGTATACTTGATGAGGTCCATAAAAAACGTGTGAATTTCTTTTCATTTTTCATTTCAGCTTTTGGAAGTAAAGTCTGACGATCCAGAACCCTGTTAAAGGGGTTATGGTGAAATAGCTTATTACATGGAATCTTAACGTGGTCTGTCTTTTATTCAAACAAAATATATATATATATATATATATATATATATATATATATATATATATATAAGGAACAAATAGGAAACGTTTTATACATTTAAGATGTTTCGCTTTTATTAAAGCTTCATCAGAAAATGAGATATTGAGAAAAAGAAAGACAAAAATTCTAGTATTTTTAATTTTGTGTGTGTTTTTCTTTTTCATTGGTTAAGCAGATTTCACCTGCATTTGTCATGTCAAGCACCTTTCGTATGCGTGTAAGTGTATCATAATTCTAGTTTGCCTATGTAGGATTCGAATGATAATATATATTCCTTTGTGTATATGTGTGTGTGTGTGTGTCTAGTAGGCATTTTTATTCATTTTTGGTGGACGTTTTATGTTAGTTTCGAAAAGTTTACGTAACACCGGCTGTAGTTGTAATAATAGGTAAGTTATATCTTAGTATGGATTTTATAAATGTTGGTGATATAGTGAGTCTGATGTATGTCCATAGATGATAAAATGATCTTTGGATCCGAGAGCTTTCAAGGATTTATTTTTTGTTTGTCTGAATATGTAGATATTTTTTTTTTCAGTAGAATTTTATTTAATTCCCGAACACGGTTAGCACACTGTGACCGCGTTCATAACTGATATCATTAAATATTGTTGATCCTATAATAATCTAATTTGATTATCTATAAGGAAGTTCGGGAGACTCAGCGTCTGTTTAATTTTGGTAAGTTCTTTAAATAGTAACAAAGAAGATTAATTTTCGTGCACTTTTGTGAGGAAATCTTTTTTTATGACAGCTAGTGTGTACATAAATGGACATTTGCTCATGAAATTAAAATGGCACGAGTTTTTACTCGTGCTTTTTTATATAACGAAGTAGTGAATGTACCATTACTGAATTCTACGAGAACGTTTAAGAAAAGAAATCTTTTTTTTTTTTAACTGGGTTCCTAATCAAATTTAAGAACGGTTTTTGTTTTTTGCAAATTTATTTTTAAGATTTTCGATTTTTTTTTTATCTTCAGCTAAACTAAAAAATATCATCTACATAACGTGTGTATAGTTTAGAATTTGTAACTTTCTTATATACGTTGTTTTTTATGTGAAACATGTAGTAATCAGGGGAAGCATCGTCCAAGTGAATTTCCCCTGCTAAGACCATTAGTTTGAGTATAAATATTACAATTATAATCCTAGAAAGGGACTTTTGTTGCGCAGGCGTGCAGTAATTCCTGAGAATATTAGGTTTGATGGATGGAGGTGGAATCGGATTATGTTTATAAACATAGTTACAGATTATATCGATGGTTTGTAAATTTGTATCGAGATGTTTGTAAATTGATCTTCTACATCAATGCCTTGGTTTGATTGTTTTAAGGATTTGAAGAAATTGATGTGTAGACGTAATACTGGTAGGTTAGGATAATAATATCATTGAGGAATTTTGATAACTGGTAAATAGGGATTAGTATCTGTGAAATGGTGGATCGTAATGGATATCCAGATGTATGTATTTTAACATTTCCGTATACGAAGCCCGGTTGGATAATCTCCGTTGATTTTCATGAACCCAGATTCATTATTGTTTGATGTTATTAGTTTGTTGACAGATGTTTTAAAGTCTCGGTGCTATTTTTATTTAACTTAGTAAATTTAGACCGATCATCGAAGATGTGTAGCAATTTTTATAATAATTTGGTTTATCCATTTATCTGCTAGTTTCTAATGACAATATTAGAAATGTTTTTAATTCTTTTGCGGCTGTTTTAAGGTTGTTGTTGTTGTTGTTGTTGTTGTTGTTGTTGTTGTTAGGGTACACTTGTAATTATTCCAGGGGGTGCGATCTTTTAAACACTCTGCCTTGAAAAGATGTCTTAAGTTTGGGCGAAGTTTTATTTCTTTATCAGATGCAAGTTGGGATAATGGCTGGTGTGGAATTTCAAATAAATGGCAATCTCAGTTCGTTTTGTCTGAATCAGGTTACCGCTTAAACCCGTCAACCAATGTTGATGAAATTTTGCATACATATTAAACTAACATCTACTTTGATACTAGGCTAATTTTCTTTTTTTATAAAAATCTATAATGAACCACCCGGGCCCCTAGATCGCAGCCTCGCCGCCGGGTCTTACGCGAATCACTCTTTACATGTGTTTTAGCAAGGGAGATAATTGGTCTCGCAAACATTTAAAAAATTAAGATACACGTGTTACGAAATAATAACTCTTATAAAGTTTAAGATTTCAGGCAGATATGGATCTTTGTTCGATTTTTAAAATTTAAAATTTAATTTTCCTGAACGAATCGCAGGTTATTTTGTAAATAAAATCTTTATTTAACATAAATTCAGTATAATCTTTGAATAAGATCTCAAAACTTGGACTACTGGAGGATGGTGCCCGCTGGAAACTGACCCTGGAGGATCCAGCTGTCAGCAGAGCACCAAGTCAATTGCGCCAGCTATTTTCCGTCATGTTGATGACAGGTATCTTGGGTGAGCCTCTTTAGCTCTGAGCGACCCACAAAATCAACATGACAGAAGGATTCAAAGGCAAACCCAGCGGAAATTGTCACATGCAATGATGCCATTTACATAGAGGCATTAGTTGACCTGGACACCCGAGTGCAAGTTATGGGAGGGGCCAAGTAATTGCCACATTTGGCCTACCTTAACCTGAACAGGCATCAAACACTCTCGCAATTAAGTACAGGCTGGAAAACAGGAAATGACGGCGTCTACAGCTGATAAAGTACACAAACTGATGGAAGAGCAACTCGGTGTTTATAACACGATTATTTCGAGCATTGAAGATGAAAGGGAAGATCTATTCTTCCTTGATGTCCCAGGTAAAACCAGCAAAACATCATTAACCAACTTCTGGCTAAGCTGCACTCTAACACATTCACCCCAGCCCCTCAACCTCTGACGTCTTACTCTCTGGGTTGAGGTGTCTATTTGGTCCTAACCGAACTTAAGAGAGTAGCCGTAGGTCTCCTGAGCTTCCGTAGATTTTTCAACCGGTCCACTGGTTTAATCCTGCTTCCTGTCCGCATTGTGTTTGGTTTGATCCAGAAAGCAGAAGTGATGTCCATCCATTCACGGTCGACTGAAGATGTAGACACAGCTGGAGAGTCTGTGCTAAGAAATTTAGAATGCAGCAAAAAAAATTAGTATCCGCAGAAAGCCGGACAAACAACTATTCAATGATTGAATTGTTAATAGAAATAGTATAGAAAAGAAACGGATTACAGAAAAGAAAAGTACTGGATTCTGGGCAGAGAGAGAGTTTGTTATGATTAACTTCTTAAATCGTCTCAGAATGATATACGACTCTTGCGATAGGGGAATAAGATTTCTGTGCGCGGCTTAAAGTTTATAGTGGCGTTCCTCCTCATCAGTAGTAACAGTAGTAATAATATTCGTGGGAGCAGAAGCAGCAGTACTTATATCAACAGTACATGTTAGCGGACGCTTCCTTCCAATCTCTGACGTCAGTTTCTCTCCTTCTTGAGTCCTCAACTCGACTCTCCACTGTCTCTAGCCCAACTCTTGCCCGGGCTAATTCTCTTCTGTCTCTTTCTTCCGTCTCCCTCTTTTTCAGCATAACTACGCGTTTATATAGAAAAAACCCGGCTGGTCATAAGCGGCCCTTGGCCCTACTACTTAGCACGCGATTCTCACGGAGTTATGGCTGTTTCAACCAAAATCATGTGAATTCTAAAGCTTCTCATTGCTTACTCAGCTCTATTGCAAGTTTTAATCAATAAAAATTATTTCGTCCATTTTCATTGTCTTCTGATGACCCAGATTCAATGGGTACGACTTCTGCCCTAGTTCAGGTTTCACCATCAGTAAACAAAAACGCTCTGATCTAATTTCGTTGTTCAAATCCACTCCATTTTCACTAAAAAAAAAATGCGTGTATGTGTGTGTGTGTTTCCAAGACTCTCTCTGTCACATTTGACGCATCTGTCATTTACTAGTAAATGACACACGAGCTTTCATATCAACAAAATATGAGAAAACCAAGTCCAACATGTTTCTTACTAGGGTCTACTTAAACATACGTCTCTTCCAGCACGCAAAGGTAGAGTACTTAGTTCTTAGGGATCATTATGCCCATTTACATTTTCATTGTCCTTACGACACATATGTACATGCAACTTCCGGTTAAAGTTCACTGTTTTGGTGTTCTCTTGCAATAGAACCTTTTCACATAGTTCACTAGTTCGAGTGTTCTTCCTTTTGTTTTTTTTCTTTTGAAGTTCGTAACACTCCTTACCAATTATATCAGTCTCATTACTAAAAATAAAATAAAAATTCGATTTACTTCGTAAATTTGCCCCTCCGATTTTGTCTCGCCTTCACAACAGGCTTTGTCGAATCTTTTGTTGATCCAGGTCCTTCCACGACAATCGTGGACTCTTCTTCAATATCAGTTAAGGGTCCCAATGCACTCGGGTCGGACCTACCTTTGGAATCCCTCCTTCACTCATGCACTCCCGTGCCAGTTTATTCTGCCCGGTCGACAACACCGGACGCCTCTTCCACCAAACCAGCAAGGCTACGACTATCATCAGTATAATTCCCACAACGGTCGGCCAGGTTATTATAGCAACCAAATTCTCTCTCCAGTCCGAATTCGGCGTACCCGGTACTGGTCCATACATATCAAAACATGGTTGTGTAAGAACTGCCCCGATACACTTATCGCTAGCATCGGTGTACAGCCCCATGGGCTTACTCAGATCTGGGTAGTCCAACAGGGGTACAGCTGTCAGCTGGTCCTTTAGAGCCTCGAATACACGCTGACAATTTTCGGTCCACTTAAACCAAGCATGCTTCTAAGTTAGAGCTATTAGAGGGCCTGCTAGCCGACTAAATGCTGGTATGAACCTCCGGTAATATTCGATGGCTCCAATAAATCCCCTAATCTCTCTTACGGTCTTCGGTGCGGGCATGGCTCTTATAACCTCTACTTTGTCTAAATCCGTTTTTATTCGTTCTTTGTTTATGATAAACCCTAAATACTTTGTCTCTTCTTTCATAAACTGACACGTCGATAATTTTAACTTTAATCCATGTTCTCTTAACCTATCGAAAACCTCTGCAGATGTTCAAAATGCTCCTCCGGTGATTTTGAAAATACCATGAAGTCATCTAAATACGCCATGGCAAATGCCTCTGTTCCATTCAATACGATGGACATTAACTGACTAAATGCACCCGGGGCGTTTGCCAGCCCAAACGGCATAACTCTAAAATTGAAGAGACCCATGTGGCAGGTAAAAGCGGTCTTTTCTTGATCCTTTTTTGCTAAGTGCTACTTGCCAATATCCCGACCTCAAATCCAAGGTGGAAAAACATTTAGACTCTCCTAAAAGAGCTAGAATATCATCAATCAAGTGAAGGAGCACTGTCAGAGGTTTCGTAATGGCATTTAATTGATGAAAATCCACACAAAACCTATGTCCTCTTCTTCTTTTCAACAATCAGTATTGGAAAACTCCAAGGAGATTTGGATCTTTCGATTATCCCTGATTCCATCATTTCATTCACTGCGTTCTCTACTAATTTTCTTTTGTAGACTGGGGTTCTATACGATCTTAACTTAATAGGTGTCTATCTTCATTTCAACTGTATCCGTCTGTCCCAGTTCCTTATCAGTAATGGCTATTACCTCCCGATTACCGTTCAGCAACCACCTCAATGTCCTCCTATAACGCTCAGGAGCTGTTATATCTTCATCCCTTTTTTCATTGCTACTTGTCTTATTCCCAAGCCTATTCTCATTCCATACTCTCACCTGTTCAACTTCTCTCACTGGGCACGCCTGTGCCAGCTCCTCTCCCTGCTTTATTTTAATAATTTTATTGGCAGTATTGGTTAACAGTAAGTAAACCGTCCCCGACCTCTTCACCAACGAATCACACACGGTTATTTCCCCTTCACTATTATCATACCAATCAGTAGGGATCACTTGGTAATTTTATTAAGGTTTTGTGTCATTTTTTAATATAGATAGCTTCCAAAAAATTTAGTTTGTTTATTATTTTCAAGAAAAAATACAGATGTATTTTTAACAATTTTTTTTCAGAATTCCGAATATGAGCAGGTATGCTATTGTAAATGTTTAGAAATGTTGAACGCGTCATTCAAATGAAAACGCACCCGCCTAGACAACGTTGTCGTAGGATAGCCAACATAAATATAATTTTTTTACCTTTGGAGATACAATCTCCAAGAGGACATTTAAAATTATATACAATGTTGGTTTTCTGCAACACGTTAGTTGGTGGGGACGAGTCATTATGAATGATTAAATTGGATATACTAGATTTAATGTAGTATATAAATAATTATATTTTTTACTAGGGTATGTGGTGGTTATATTAGTATTTATTAATTTTTAGGATATTTCCATCTTGTTTATAATTATAATGTATTTGGTTGCAATATAAAAGATTAATATGTTTGGGGTTAGTTGAATAAGTATTATAAGCTATTTGCTTTGTATTAAAATTTTTGATAGAACATCTTATTTGTTCATCAACAATATAATTAGGGAAGTTACTATTAATAACAGTTTGTTTTATATTTTTAACTCGCTGTAGAAAATCTGTTTTGTGGATGAATAAATTTGACATTGTATTAATGTCGAAAGTGCTCGAAATAAATAATATGTATCAACACAGTAATTTTCTCTCTTCCTTTAATAATGACACCAAAAAGCTTTCTCCGAGAATATGAAAGGATCTAACTGAAAATAAGTAGACAGAATTTGTCTAAATTATTCAATGAAACATGTCTCAATGAAAGCATACTGCCAATATATATATATATATATATATATATATATATATATATATATAATACAAGTAAAAGGTTTATCACTTACCTGATTGATGTTACCTGCAGCATCCTAACTCCAGAGTTTCGTAGAGTAATTCGCGAAGGGTTACTCCGGGAATTACTCGTAAGGAGGTATCAGCAATTGACTGCTTATGCTTCTCATTTTTTTTACATGACCTTTTCATTAGTGTAAGTTTTTTCATGGTGCATGTCTGCGTGTGTGCGTTCGCGCCCGTGCCCCCATCTGCGCGTATGTGCGTACGTATAGAATGTCGTGATTATTGGTCTTTTTTGGCCTTTCTTTTTTCACTTTATACTCACACCATAACATTTTCTCTATCTGGAATTATCTCTTCACAAGTATTCATAACTTTTTACTCCATGAATTAGATATATCTACGCAATTTTCCAACACTAAAGTATGTATGTATACGTGTATAAACATATAAATAACTATTTATGAACTTCCACAGACAGACACACACTCTCTTTCTGTTTCTCTCCATCTATCTACACACACACACACACACACATATATATGTGTGTGTGTGTGTGTGTGTGTGTGTGTGTGTGTGTGTGAAAAAGAGAGAGAGACAAAGAGAGAGAGCACGAGAAAGAGAATGTGTGTTTTTTTCTCTTTATAGTTGTTTTTTACTTGGATCACATACACCTTCGTTCGGAAACATTGATTTTTTTTTTCTGATGAGAATTCGAACTGCACACCAGTTTTTTCTTTTTATTTTATTGAATTTTTTTTTTTGCCTCAGTTTTTCTCAGATTGTGTGTATATGTCTTCACTGGCGCGCCCTTGTGCGACTGCGTCATTTGAGTACACGTATGTGCGTGCATTCATTTCAATATTTGGTGATATCAATTTACAATGAAAGCTAATGCGTACAACGTCTACTTACGTACAATTTAACCTTACGGCCCGTATTTTACTTATTCAATGGCGCCCCTCTAAACCTCCTCGGTCCTATTTGGACCAGACAGAAGTGAAACATGAATAAAAATGGATGTCTTGTCTGTTGTATTCAAATTAAGATTCTTTCTTTTCTCTTCCATTTTCTTTACCCTTGCACAACCTATTTGTTTAGAAAAAACAGCCAATTTGAGAAATGATCGGCAATTTTCTGCCGATCAGATGGTGATTGATTATTACCATGTATCTTTTATTTACCTATTGATCAATATCATTTTATTCCTATCTGTATGACTCGATCGCTTTCTTTGTATGGATGCTTAAGATCATTTTATCCTCTGTATATGTCTTCGTATATCTGTTCATTTCACAATATGCCTGTCTTCATTTCGAATTTATCTCTCTCTCTCTATCTATCTATCTATCTATCTATCAACCTATCTCTTTTTTTTACATACATACATACATACATATATATATATATATATATATATATATATATATATATATATATATATATATATATATATATATACCAATCCATAAGATATCTTTAAAAAATGTTTAGCGATCATAGAGAGATTTAAGCATTACTCAGGCGTGCAGTTAGTGTAACAAATAACAACGTAGATTTGGCGTGTCGAGTTCAAACTTCAGCCCAGTCTATTCACTTTCACGTAATTGTGAAAAGCATGAAACCATTTCTTGTCCCCATTTATGGGCTAAATAACAACATAGTCTGGGCTTTTTAGCCTTAAATGATAACCAATTTAGGAGAAGGTCTGCTCCGAATTCAAAACTGGGGAGAAGTCAAAAGAAAACCACTCAACTGTCACTGCCAAGAAATCTTGGCAATTCACAGATATTAAATAAAGCAATATGTGGAGAGTCATGATCAGTCAGGAAACGACATGGCATTTAAAAAATAAAAAGAATATAAATAAGCATACCAAGATAAGTAATTCTTATAAAAAAGCCTAATTGATTAAATTTTATATTTATTAGATTGCAATTGGATTCTAATTACAACCAGAAATAAGTGTTTATAAATAATTAAATAATTACGATGTTAGTTGTTTTGTTAACGGTGATTGCTGATGATGAAGTTGATACTAGCTAAGAGAGGTGAGAATAAACAAATGGTATTTTTGCTAACTAGAAATAGATTATCGATATACATAGATATATGTTGAGAGATCGATTATTATTATATAAGTTTTATCGGCATAAACAGAGCTGGGGAAAAGCGATTGCTCTAAAACTGTCAGCAAACTCTTCGCCAATGAGATAGTAAAACTTATTGACCAATTAAAACTAGATAACCTGTAATACGTTAAAAAGGAAAAGAATGGCTGAAGGGAATCCTACGAAAACAAAATAATTAACAAGGAGCAACACTAAATAATAAGACTGTTGAAGGAATCGACACAGATATACAGAAACACACACTTCAAATGAACAGTGTAAGGATATATATCAGGTCATCCCATAAGTTCTGTCCGAATTTTGAATAAAGAAAACAAGTGACCAAATGTTACATTTAATTACAGATTCAATCAACAATGTATTTTCCCTGATTATCTATGACTTCCTTCCATCTATTAACAAGCTTACTAATTCCATTACTGTAAAATTCTTTTGGCTTTAATTCGAAGGACTCATAAATGTCAGTTTTAACCTCTTCCTGTGTTACAAAATCTGTTTCTTCCAAATGATTCTGTAAGTTACAAAGCAAATGGTAGTCTGAAGGAGCAAGATCGGGAGAATCAGGTGCATGAGGAATTTTCTCCCAACCAAGTTCTTCGATCTTTTGTGACGTGATTCTTGCTGTATGGGGTCACGCATTGTCCTGAAGAAACATCACTCCTTTTCGATTCACT